GAATTTCTTTCACACCCACCGAGTTTTAACAGCAAGAAAAAGTCAAAGAAAACCCTTATCTTTTTAAAACACTTCCTTATTACGACCTAAGACTCGCAATTACAAATTCAAGCATTTTTGTGGCGCAATAAGACAAAAATTTGTGGAAACAACAAAAAAAGCAAGCTGGAACTGTAAACGATAAACGGCAAGTTATCATATCAGAGATCTCCACTGAAAAACTGCAACAAGAATCCGATCAGTAAGCTAAGCTTTGGTAAACTTTTTTCCCAATTTTCCGCTTGAAAAATGCATCTCTTCATAAAAATTGTTCTTATATTCGGCCAGTAAATTTGCGTTTGTTCTTGGAGCAGTCCCAATACAGCAATATCTTAAAGACAGGCAGAAACTGTTTCCCATCAAATGGTACGAGTCTGCAACAAATATTCTAGACGGAGTGTCACTCTTCCGATTCGTTTTACCGCCACTACAAATCACCCGTTTACGGCTAATCGCTCGTGCAAATTAAAAAATACCAGTTCATTTGAAGCATTTTTGATCCTAGTTTGAAAATTACTTTTCTTTGTTATTTCCATAAAATATTTTCTCCTAAGGATCTGCCAGTAATAGCAAAATTTATCACATCCACTACCACTCAATTGAAGAAAGAAATTCAGAGGAGCTTCTCTCTTTAATTTAACTAAGCATGCCGGTATTTCCCAAACAAGAGTGACGAGACAGACTCCTACTAAAAAAACTTCCCCCGTGCTTGGCTCGGTAGTCAAATTATGGCAAAAGTCAAAGTTCTGGAAATATCTAACAAAACCATAAAGTGATATCACAGTGTTTAATACATATTTAAAGTGGCTGTTTACTTAAATTGTGGATGCCGATCCGAATTATACTTCTGCATAATATCTTTTAATGCTGATTTCCATTCAATTAGAGACTATTGAATTAATTTGTGCGTGAGCTATGTTTTTCGGGGAGGATCGTGACGGTTGGGTTGTGATAAACTGTAAAAAAGGTCCGACTGTTGAAAGGGTTCTCACATGTAAAGATAAATAAATGTCAAACTGCGAAAAATTGAAGTTTTTATAAGTAGCCTGTTTTACCTCCACAAACTATAAAAATAGCTAATCAGCAAACAAATTGCAAATGTTCCCTAATCTCAAAAGTAAAATGTCGAAAGAAACTGCAAAGAGACCTTCGTACTCCAGTCAAAATCACGTAAGACCTTCGCCTTTTGGCTGACTCCGTTCACATCAAAAAAGGAAGTTCCATTCATTCGTCGCGAGCTGTCAAAGCTCCTAATGCTAAATTTGAAGTATAAATTGTTTATACCATAAA